CAGAGCTGAGATATCGAAATTCAAAATTTCGACCCGAAAAAAAAAACGACAGTGTTACCCCTTTCGTTTTTTTCGTTTTTGGGTGAAAAATTAAGTTTCTCCAATCTTCTCAAAACTCTGGATTATGATAGAGGGCTGTGAGACTTTGACCTGAGTGCAAAAATGGAGGCTCTAGACCCTTCCAGAGCTGAGATATCGAAATTCAAAATTTCGACCCGAAAAAAAAACGACAGTGTTACCCCTTTCGTTTTTTTCCGTTTTTGGGCGAAAAATTAAGTTTCTCCAATCTTCTCAAAACTCTGGATTATGATAGAGGGCTGTGAGACTTTGACCTGAGTGCAAAAATGGAGGCTCTAGACCCTTCCAGAGCTGAGATATCGAAATTCAAAATTTCGACCCAAAAAAAAACGACAGTGTTACCCCTTTTGTTTTTTTTTCGTTTTTGGGCGAAAAATTAAGTTTCTCCAATCTTCTCAAAACTCTGGATTATGATAGAGGGCTGTGAGACTTTGACTTGAGTGCAAAAATGGAGGCTCTAGACCCTTCCAGAGCTGAGATATCGAAATTCAAAATTTCGACCCGAAAAAAAAACGACAGTGTTACCCCTTTCGTTTTTTTTCGTTTTTGGGCGAAAAATTAAGTTTCTCCAATCTTCTCAAAACTCTGGATTATGATAGAGGGCTGTGAGACTTTGACCTGAGTGCAAAAATGGAGGCTCTAGACCCTTCCAGAGCTGAGATATCGAAATTCAAAATTTCGACCCGAAAAAAAAACGACAGTGTTACCCCTTTCGTTTTTTTTCGTTTTTGGGCGAAAAATTAAGTTTCTCCAATCTTCTCAAAACTCTGGATTATGATAGAGGGCTGTGAGACTTTGACTTGAGTGCAAAAATGGAGGCTCTAGACCCTTCCAGAGCTGAGATATCGAAATTCAAAATTTCGACCCGAAAAAAAAAACGACAGTGTTACCCCTTTCGTTTTTTTTCGTTTTTGGGCGAAAAATTAAGTTTCTCCAATCTTCTCAAAACTCTGGATTATGATAGAGGGCTGTGAGACTTTGACTTGAGTGCAAAAATGGAGGCTCTAGACCCTTCCAGAGCTGAGATATCGAAATTCAAAATTTCGACCCGAAAAAAAAACGACAGTGTTACCCCTTTCGTTTTTTTTCCGTTTTTGGGCGAAAAATTAAGTTTCTCCAATCTTCTCAAAACTCTGGATTATGATAGAGGGCTGTGAGACTTTGACCTGAGTGCAAAAATGGAGGCTCTAGACCCTTCCAGAGCTGAGATATCGAAATTCAAAATTTCGACCCGAAAAAAAAACGACAGTGTTACCCCTTTTGTTTTTTTTCGTTTTTGGGCGAAAAATTAAGTTTCTCCAATCTTCTCAAAACTCTGGATTATGATAGAGGGCTGTGAGACTTTGACCTGAGTGCAAAAATGGAGGCTCTAGACCCTTCCAGAGCTGAGATATCGAAATTCAAAATTTCGACCCGAAAAAAAAACGACAGTGTTACCCCTTTCGTTTTTTTTCGTTTTTGGGCGAAAAATTAAGTTTCTCCAATCTTCTCAAAACTCTGGATTATGATAGAGGGCTGTGAGACTTTGACCTGAGTGCAAAAATGGAGGCTCTAGACCCTTCCAGAGCTGAGATATCGAAATTCAAAATTTCGACCCGAAAAAAAAACGACAGTGTTACCCCTTTTGGTTTTTTCGTTTTTGGGCGAAAAATTAAGTTTCTCCAATCTTCTCAAAACTCTGGATTATGATAGAGGGCTGTGAGACTTTGACTTGAGTGCAAAAATGGAGGCTCTAGACCCTTCCAGAGCTGAGATATCGAAATTCAAAATTTCGACCCGAAAAAAAAACGACAGTGTTACCCCTTTCGTTTTTTTTCGTTTTTGGGCGAAAAATTAAGTTTCTCCAATCTTCTCAAAACTCTGGATTATGATAGAGGGCTGTGAGACTTTGACCTGAGTGCAAAAATGGAGGCTCTAGACCCTTCCAGAGCTGAGATATCGAAATTCAAAATTTCGACCCGAAAAAAAACGACAGTGTTACCCCTTTGTTTTTTTTCGTTTTGGGCGAAAAATTAAGTTTCTCCAATCTTCTCAAAACTCTGGATTATGATAGAGGGCTGTGAGACTTTGACCTGAGTGCAAAAATGGAGGCTCTAGACCCTTCCAGAGCTGAGATATCGAAATTCAAAATTTCGACCCGAAAAAAAAACGACAGTGTTACCCCTTTCGTTTTTTTTCGTTTTTGGGCGAAAAATTAAGTTTCTCCAATCTTCTCAAAACTCTGGATTATGATAGAGGGCTGTGAGACTTTGACCTGAGTGCAAAAATGGAGGCTCTAGACCCTTCCAGAGCTGAGATATCGAAATTCAAAATTTCGACCCGAAAAAAAAACGACAGTGTTACCCCTTTCGTTTTTTTTTTTTTGGGCGAAAAATTAAGTTTCTCCAATCTTCTCAAAACTCTGGATTATGATAGAGGGCTGTGAGACTTTGACCTGAGTGCAAAAATGGAGGCTCTAGACCCTTCCAGAGCTGAGATATCGAAATTCAAAATTTCGACCCGAAAAAAAAAACGACAGTGTTACCCCTTTCGTTTTTTTCGTTTTTGGGCGAAAAATTAAGTTTCTCCAATCTTCTCAAAACTCTGGATTATGATAGAGGGCTGTGAGACTTTGACCTGAGTGCAAAAATGGAGGCTCTAGACCCTTCCAGAGCTGAGATATCGAAATTCAAAATTTCGACCCGAAAAAAAACGACAGTGTTACCCCTTTTGTTTTTTTTTCGTTTTTGGGCGAAAAATTAAGTTTCTCCAATCTTCTCAAAACTCTGGATTATGATAGAGGGCTGTGAGACTTTGACCTGAGTGCAAAAATGGAGGCTCTAGACCCTTCCAGAGCTGAGATATCGAAATTCAAAATTTCGACCCGAAAAAAAAAACGACAGTGTTACCCCTTTCGTTTTTTTTTCGTTTTTGGGCGAAAAATTAAGTTTCTCCAATCTTCTCAAAACTCTGGATTATGATAGAGGGCTGTGAGACTTTGACCTGAGTGCAAAAATGGAGGCTCTAGACCCTTCCAGAGCTGAGATATCGAAATTCAAAATTTCGACCCGAAAAAAAAAACGACAGTGTTACCCCTTTCGTTTTTTTCGTTTTTGGGCGAAAAATTAAGTTTCTCCAATCTTCTCAAAACTCTGGATTATGATAGAGGGCTGTGAGACTTTGACCTGAGTGCAAAAATGGAGGCTCTAGACCCTTCCAGAGCTGAGATATCGAAATTCAAAATTTCGACCCGAAAAAAAACGACAGTGTTACCCCTTTCGTTTTTTTCGTTTTTGGGCGAAAAATTAAGTTTCTCCAATCTTCTCAAAACTCTGGATTATGATAGAGGGCTGTGAGACTTTGACTTGAGTGCAAAAATGGAGGCTCTAGACCCTTCCAGAGCTGAGATATCGAAATTCAAAATTTCGACCCGAAAAAAAAACGACAGTGTTACCCCTTTCGTTTTTTTTCCGTTTTTGGGCGAAAAATTAAGTTTCTCCAATCTTCTCAAAACTCTGGATTATGATAGAGGGCTGTGAGACTTTGACTTGAGTGCAAAAATGGAGGCTCTAGACCCTTCCAGAGCTGAGATATCGAAATTCAAAATTTCGACCCGAAAAAAAAAAACGACAGTGTTACCCCTTTTGTTTTTTTTCGTTTTCGGCGAAAAATTAAGTTTCTCCAATCTTCTCAAAACTCTGAATTATGATAGAGGGCTGTGAGACTTTGACTTGAGTGCAAAATGGAGGCTCTAGACCCTTCCAGAGCTGAGATATCGAAATTCAAAATTTCGACCCGAAAAAAAAACGACAGTGTTACCCCTTTCGTTTTTTTTTCGTTTTGGGCGAAAAATTAAGTTTCTCCAATCTTCTCAAAACTCTGGATTATGATAGAGGGCTGTGAGACTTTGACCTGAGTGCAAAAATGGAGGCTCTA